TTTTTTGAGATGGAGTCTCGCTCTGTCACCTAGGCTGGAGTGCAGTGGTGCGATCTCGGCTCACTGCAACCTCCGCTTCCTGGGTTCAAGCAATTCACCTGCCTCAGCCTCCCAAGTAGCTGGGACTACAGGCGCATGCCACCATGTCTGCTTAATTTTCTTTTGTGTGTGTGTGTTTTTTTAGCAGAGATGGGGTTTCACCATGTTGGCCAGGATGGTCTCGATCTGACCTCCTGATCTCCTGATCCACCTGCCTCAGCCTCCCAAAGTGTTAGGATTACAGGCGTGAGCCACTGTGCCCTTCCAAAAAAATTTTTTGTTTAATTGGCTGGGTGTGGTAGCATGTACCTATAGTCCCAGCTACTCTGGAGGCTAAGGTGGTAGGATTGCTTAGGTAGGAAGATCGCTTGAGTCTGATTGAGGCTTCAGTGAGCCCTGATTGTGCCACTGCACTTCAGTCTGGGAGACAGAGTAAAGCCCTGTCTCAAAAATGTAAAAATAAAAGTAAAATATAGATGCAGTTGGGGAAAGAAAACCAACTGATATGAGTAAACAAAAGTTCATCACCATTAACAAAAAATAAAATGAATTTTGTGAATTATATACCATAGTTCTATGTTAATAACTAAAAACTAACCTGGAATATGTTTGGGAAGTTTCTGTGGGATTTCCTTGTTTCTTACTTATGTAGCCAATAGGCATTATACATTTTTGTCTTTTTCCTACCATTACTTGTAGTCTTTCATATCACAAAAACTGCAGCAGCATGCAGCAGTTAACAGGTTAGCTGTGAAGTTGCAAAAGTTCTTTTCTGCACAACTTAACCCCTCAGTACTTTTCTTTCTTTATTTGTTAAAATAGTTCTTATCTCTAAGGCTGTCGTGAGGAGTAAGTTAATGCATATAAAATGCTTGGAACAGTGGCTGGCACATCGTATGAACTCAATAAGTATTAGATTATGCTTCTGGTTTTGTTGTTCATATTTACTGTGGGACTTTTGGCGGTTACTTAACTTCACCAAGCTTCAGTTTCCTTCTCTGTAAAATACCTACATAACTGGTTACTATAAGGATGAATAGACATGGAGTATAAAAGGGCACAGAATCCTTGTAAGTGTTAACTCATGTTACTATGACTAGCATTAGTAACAAGAAAAGTAGTGCTGGAGGTAGTGCCACTGAGAATTCTATGAAATTCTCAGTTCCATAAATTAGAATGAACAAATTGGCAATATTTAATTCTCAGCAACAGAGTAGTTAAAAGCATTGTAATTGTTGTTCATTAAATTACACTCCTTTAATTTTCAGACAGTGCTACAACAAGTAATTGAAGATGGCTCAAAATATGGATTAAAAAGTGAACTTTTCTCTGGTCTTCCCCGGAAGAAGATTGTGGTTGAATTCAGGTGAGGGTGCACCTTTTTTATGTGTTGCTTAATCAAGTTGACTGGGCAGAGGAGTGTTATTACCATCATCATTTGGGGTCTTAATAAATAACATATGGAAAACTTGAAAACCAGTGCAATTATATTATTTCTTGAAATCACAGTGAATCAATCATTGAACTATAAATAAAAACATATTTTTGGACCTCCAAAAATGTCTTTTTTATATATATATTTATTTATTTATTTATATTTAGTATTAACAGTTCCTTTTTTGGAAGAACTAGTTATTCACTTTAATAGACTCTTAAGGCAGAGGTAATGGTTACTGCCGTATTAGGAATTTTAAAGTGGCCAGGCATGGTGGCTCAGCCTGTAATCCTAGCACTTTGGAAGGCAAGGTGGGAGGATCACTTGAGGCCAGGAGTTCGAGACCAGCCTGGGCAACATAGTGAGACCCCCCCACCTCTTAAAAAAAAAAAAGTAGTTGTGCATGGTATCACACTTGCGTAGTGACAGCTACTTGGGAGGCTGAGGAGGAAAGATAGCTTGAGCCTAGGAATTCAAGATTACAGTGAGCTGGGATTGTCACTGCACTCTAGCTCAGGTGAGACACACCAAGACCCTGTGTCCAAAAAAAAATTTTTAAGTAATTTGATTACCAGAGAAACAAGTCTTTTAATATTTGTAATAAATGTAATTTTTAATTACCAGAAAAATAGCTTGAAGTTTTAATGTGCCTCTAAATAGTCTTCATAGAACTTTCTAACATGCTGTCAGTATAACTGTCTGGTATTTAGACTGTTTGAGGTAACGAAGAGAGAAAAGGGAACACTAAAAACTAATACTTTCATTGTACAGCTGACAGACTAGGAAATTATCAGAGATGTTGCATTTGTCTTCCTAAAGCTGAAGAACAGTCTTGATGAACTGTTTTTCTACTTAGAAAGATAGAACTTGCTAAGAGCCTTTTGTCTTAAGTATTTATGTCTGTGGAAGATTTTTAAAAATCGATATGGGAAGTATTATGTTTACTAACTCATTATTGCAGTTTATGATAATAGCCATTAAACTTAGTTATGATTAGCTCCTGTACAGTCAGTGAAAGAGCGGGTTTTATGCATGTGTACTGTCTCTGCCACTCACTTGTCTTCTTAAAGAAGGCAGACCCTCTAAGACCAAACTCATGAATTTATGGTAAGGACCAATTACTGAGTAAGCTTCTGCCCCTATGGAATAGACACTTACTATGAATGACTCTTGTACTGCAGTACACCACAATTATGATATTTAAAGTTGAGTTTAAATATTTGTTGCATCACAAAGAGTAGAGGGACTTCCTACAGTCATCCTCATACCGCAGAGGAACTACACTAAGGCCATCTCCTAAGGAAATTTGCCTGTTTTCTCTCCTCTTGAATAAGAAACCACTGCAAACCTTAATGTAGGGATTGTTAAACCTCAGCCCATAAGCAACATCCAGTTTGCCACTTGTTTTTGCAAATAAAGTTTTGTTGGAACACAGCCATGCACATTTGTTTACATCATCTACATTGGCTGCTTTCATATTGCAATGGCAGTTGAACAAAGTAGAGCTGAGTTGAATAGTTGTGACAGATCAGATGGTCCAAAAGCCTATTAAAGTATTTACTATCTGGCTCTTTAAGAAAAAGAATTGCCAGCTTCTGATTAGTGTCTTAAAACAACATCCATTTTGGTACTTATGACACCATGTATGAGGAAATGGGGAGAGAGGAGTATTTCAGGCCAGTGGTTCTTCTATTTGCCTGAGGTTATTTATGTAACTGGTCATCTGGAGACTATTGGGGCTAGAAATCAAAAGTGGCTCATTTACTTCTCTGGCTAGGCATCTCTGTCTCCCACCACATTGTTTCTCCAACAGAGTAGCAAGACCTCTTTACAGAGGTACTCAAGGCTCTAAGATAGTGAAAACATCTAATCTTGGAACAGGCATGGCATCATCAGTTTTGTCACTTTCTGCTGATGAAAGCAAGTCACAAGATCACCCCAGATTCAATGGAAGAAAAATAGAGTACATCTCTTAATGATGAGAGAAGCAAAGAATTTGTGATCATCTTTGATTATTTTCATTCATGTCTTTAAATTAATGGACATACTGCTTTCTTCACTGGGGAGGCACTTCATTACCATATTACTCTTAAACCCCTTTCAATTACCTAACCGGCAAGTAAAGGAAAATCAATAGGGAGGCAATATATTACCTGTGGCCGTACATTCATCCTTTAAGTAATGCCATTATAAGTTTCCTAAAACTTGAAAAGTTGCCACCATTACTTACCTTCTTTTGCATTTTTTTTTTTCCCACCTTCACCATCCTTTTACTCCAACTAAGCTCTAGAAATACTGTGGCATCAGTCTTCCTTACTCATTGATTCCCTGGCTTTCCTCTTAAGTTTTGGTTTCCCGTATACTGCTCCTTTTTGTTTATGCTTTTAAGAAGTATCTAAAAATAACCTGTTCTATGCGAGTTGTATTCTGTAGGCTTTTTGTATGGCAGTTAATTTGCTTATGGATTTGCTTCTCTTAGCTTTTTTCTAAAGCAGTTAAGGAAGGCTGGAATTTAAATGAGTGTCTGAATGCTGGTGAAGGCAGAGCCTGTCTATCTCCTAGCAGCCATCTTTGCTCTCTGACAGTTTACAAGTGGCATTGTTGTGAGACCATTGCTTCTCTCTCCCTTAGAGGTTTTCCAGATGCTGCAGTTCTTGCTGTTGTGATTTCAAAGTAGAGACAAAATAGGTGGAGACAGGATCAAAATTGATAGAGAACATTATTCTTGGATTTCTTCTGAAAATAAGAGAGATGGGAGAAGAGAATTTTTAAAATATGTAGTATCCTGAACAGACCAAGCAACATTCCCCAGAAAGCAAGAGATATGATCACTATGCTCAAGAAACTTTCTCCCTAAATTGAGTTGATGATGATAATACTAGATTAAGTAACTTGCCCAGGTTCACAGAGCTAACTCTTGATTCTGAAACCTGTATACTTAACTTTTACTGCTTCCCTGGTACATAGTGTAGGTTGTCATATATTTTGTCTGATTTAGGAGCAGTGTGATAAAATACAAGATAAATGGCTGTCCATCATAGATTTGGACTTCCCCTGGTAGATGGTGTAAGACTTGAAGCTAACTACTGTTTCCTCTCTCCTGTCTCTCTAGTCAGCCTTTCCTATTTTGTACAGATCAACTGTGTAAGATCATGGTAAGCAGTGGTAGCCTTTTCTTTTCTCAGCATGATTTTCCCCAGCCCCTGCTGCTCCCAAGTGTGAGACACTCTTCTAGCAAAACAGATTGGAGACCTCTGGCTGGCAAAATGAGACTTTTGAAAGTCAGGGTAGCAGTTCTGACTGTTAGTAACTGGTTCAGTGATCTTAGATGGGACAGTTGATTTCTCTGGCCTCTTATCTGGAAAATAAGTAGTTTTTTGTTTTTTTTTTTTTTGAGACAGAGTCTTGCTCTCTCGCTCAGGCTGGAGTGCTGTGGCATGATTCACTGCAACCTCTGCGTCCCTGGTTCAAGCAATTCTCCTGCCTCAGCCTCCCCAATAGAGTAGCTGGATTACAGGCATGTGCCACCATGCCCAGCTAGTTTTTGTATTTTTAGTAGAGACAGGATTTCACCATGTTGGCCAGTCTGGTCTCAAACTCCTGACCTCAAGTGATCTGCCCACCTTGGCCTCCCAAAGTGCTAGTATTATAGACGTGAGCGACCACGCCCGGCCAAGAGTGATGTTATCTGTCCCTTCTTACAAAATTAAGGAATAATTTAACAAAAGTCCCAATAAGATGCCCAGATTATAATTCATAGTAGCTACTTCAGTTGCCAAAAGAAGTGAATTTGTATTTTCCATTTTATGTATTCCCTTCTCAGTAGACATATGGTATCAGAGAGAAGCAAATTGTTGATTTCAAGGGACATTTTGTCAAAACTTGAAGACCTAGATAGATTCAATTTTTCTAATACCGGAGGGAAAATGCGAAGCGCTGAAAGGTTTTTTTTTTTTCTTAACAGACATTATAAATACATAGTTTTTAAAAAATTCAGAGATTACAAAGAGATATTTAATGAAAAAGAAGGCTCTTCCCCATCTCAGTTTCCTCTGTGGGTATCTATTAATCCCAGTATCAGTGTCTTACTCACCCTCCTAGAGATGTTCTATGCATTTGTAAATGGACTATACATATTTTACATTGTTTTCACTTCTTTCCCCCCCCCAATAATGTATTTTATGTTTCTTTCATATGAATGCATCCAGGGCTGGCTTATTTTTATTGTTCCATTGTATTCTGTTCTTTTTTTTTTTTTCTTAAATCAGCTTTATTGAGGGATAATTACATACAATGCTTATTTAAACATAGAATTTCACCATATTTAAACATATAATTTGATGAGTTTTGGCATAGGTATGCAAGTTGTGTAACTGCCTCCACAACTATGATATAGAGCTGTTTTTCTGGGGTTTTTTATTTCTATTGATTTTTTTGCTTTACTTTTATCTATGTCATTTTCTTTTATTCTGCTTGCTTTGGATTTAGTTTGCTCCATTTTTTCTAGTTTCTTAAAGGAGAAACTCAGATTATTGATTCGAAACCTTTTTTCTAATATAAACATTTCGTGTTATAGATTTTTCTGCTTTAGCTATATCCAACGAATTTACTAGTAAGGCAGCAATATGGTACAGCGCTAGGATTCCCCTTGTTTGCTCTTGTTCTCTCAAAACATCATAGTCCTTCACTGCCTGTTGTCCAGTTTCATAAAATCAGTGTTTCATCTATTTTTCTGGTTTTCTGATTATTTAAAGGCAGAAGAGTAAATCCAGTCCTCTTTTGGCTGTAAATGTAAGATTTTTTTTTAAGCCTTTAGAAGGATGTTTACTTTCTTTCTAAACAATGATTAAATAAATACCTGTGTAGTTTCATAATTTCATAATTGTGCACACATATCGTAGGATCAAGTTTTTAAATCGTAGTACTCTTAAGGGTATATAACAAGGCTTTGGAGACAAACCAGAATTAAGCTCTAGTTTTACCACTTTTAACCAGCTATGTTCAATTTTTTTTATAATTGATAATATAAAAGATAATAATTTATCTTTTTTTAATATTGAAAAACTTATGAAATTTTCAAACATTCACAAAACAGGGAACAGTATAATTAACCCCTATATGTTCGTTACACATATTTAAGAGTCATCAAGATATTGCCACATTTGCTTCATCATCTCTCTTTGTTGTCCCAGTTCCCTCATCTGTAAAATAAAAGAGTACCTTACCTCACAGCACATACGAGTATTAAATGAGTTAATGCCCGTGAAGTGTGTGCAGCTGTGCCTGTCAGGTAGTGAGTGCTCTGGAAGCATTTGCTATGTTAAATGATTGTTTACAACTTCTTGAGCACACATGGGAGTGATAAATGTGTTGTTTGGGAATTTGGAGTGGTGAGTCACATTCCAATTGTTAGAGGTTTTATGCATAAATATTTTTCCTTTTTTTTGTTTTGTTTTGTTTTTAATTTTACAGACAGAGTCTCACTCTGTCACCCAGGCTGAAGTACAATCATCATAGTTCACTGTAACTTTGAACTCCTGGGCCCAAGCTATCCTCCTGCTTTAGCCTTCCATGTAGCTAGGACTACAAGCATGCACCACCGCACCCTACTAATTTATTTTAATTATTTTTATTTTTATTTTTTTGAGACAGAGTTTTGCTCTTGTCACCCAGGCTAGAGTGCAATGAATGTCGTGATCTCGGCTCCCTGCAACCTCCGCCTCCCAGGTTCAAGCCATTCTCCTGTCTCAGCCTCCCAAATAGCTGGGGTTACAGGCATGCACCACCACACCCTGCTAATTTTTTGTATTTTTACTAAAGTAAGGGTTTCACCATGTTGATCAGGATGGTCTAGAACTCCTGGCCTCAAGTGATCCATCCTCCTCGGCCTAAGAAAGTGCTGGGATTACAGGTGTGAGCCACCGCGCCCAGCTACCTGACTAGTTTTTTGAAAAAAAATTCTGTAGAGACAGTGTCTTGATATGTTGCCCAGGCTAGTCTCAAACTCCTGGCCTCAAGCAGTCTCCCCACCTCAGCCTCCCAAAGTGCTGAGAGTACAGGCGTGAGCCATTGTGCTGGGGGTATTTTTACATTTTAAAATTTTGATTTCTGATACAATAAATAGTAGCAGATATTACCCATATGAAAAATATTTCTTTGAGGCCCTCAGTGATTTTTAAGAGGGTAAAGGATTTGCACTAAACTTAGTAATTTGTGTTGGTTTTGTCAATCCTTAAATGTATCTACTTCCTAAGTATACCACTTACGTGAATGCTATTAGTTCAGGAGTCACAGGATCATTTCATTAACAATGTCAAAATTTTGAGTTCTAATTTATCTTTGCTGTAAATTTTTGACTTTTAACTTATCTTTGCCCTAATACCAAAGGCTATACTCCACAATTTTGTCAAAGTATGGAGGCATGACCTAGTTGATTCTTAGAAGTCTTAATTCTTAGAATAGAGAAATAACTTTCCCCTTTTTTTTTTTTGCAGTTCACCTAATGTTGCCAAAAAATTTCATGTTGGACATTTGCGTTCTACCATCATAGGTAAGTGTTTAGTTTCACATAAAATACTAAACGTGCCTTTGAGGAAGTATTTGATAGTTTAATGGTTTAATGCTTAAATAACAAAAGAACAAAAAACAAAAACTTTAAATTTATATGAGCCTTATGCTAATTCAATATTACATGAAATGGACAACGTTGGTTAATAATGATGGAAACAGAAAATTCATTTCAAAACCAAAAGATTCACTGAGAAACTAATTTTAACTGCTATCTATGTTATGATTTTTAACTTTCTAAAAGTAAGTATAAATATGGAGAAGACCTGAAAGATGCAAAAGTAAAAATAGTTATGTGGGGATATATAACCCTTCAAAATTTTTGGCTCATATATTTTGTGGTTTTTTTGTTTCCCAGGCCGGAGTGCAGTGGTGCAATCTCAGCTCACGCAACCTCTGTCTCCCAGGTTCAAAGGATTCTCCTGCCTCAACCTCCCAAGTAGCTGGGATTACAGGCATGCGCCACCACGCCTGGCTAATTTTTGTATTTTTAGTAGAAACAGGGTTTCACCATGTTGCCCAGGCTGGTCTCGAACTCCTGACCTCAAGTTATCTGCCCACCTCGGCCTCTCAAAGTGCTGGGATTGCAGGCGTGAGCCACCACGCTCTGCCTATTCATATATTTTGTTTATATAAAATACATAACAATTTTTGTCAAAATTACAAAGTGCAAATAACAATTTTTATTAAAAATTCACCTCAGTCATGTGAGCACTTAGTGGAATGTTCAAGACTGGAAATTAGAACAAGACTATTTCTGGCCGGGTGCAGTGGCTCACACCTGTAGTCCCAGCACTTTGGGAAGCTGAAGCAGGCAGATCATTTAAGGTCAGGAGTTCGAGACCAGCCTGGCCAACATGGTGAAACCCCATGTTTACTAAAAATACAAAAAATCAGCCAGTGTGGTGGTGTGCACCTGTAATCCCAGCTACTCAGGAGGCTGAGGTGGGAGAATCGCCTGAACCCAGGAGGCGGAGGTTGCAGTGAGCTGCACACCACTGCACTGTGGCCTGGGCGACAGCTGGATTCAGTCTCAAAAAACAACAAAAAAAGACTATTTCAATAAATAGAGATTACTATGTAGTACTTCGTAGTTGTAATGCTTCAGTGTATAATATACTTACAATTTTCATTTATTTAGCACGTGTCATGCAGCAGGTGAATTTAAAAACTGAAATTAAAATTCTATAATATTGGAATTGGAAGGGACTTTGGAGTTTATCTCAATCTAATCTCACTTCCAATGTAGAAATCTGTCCTGTTGCATGCTTAAGAGAAAGTTGTTTAACCTGTACTTCAGTACTTTTCAGAATTGGAGAAATTAGTACTTGTGGCATAGATTGTTGTGGGGTCAGCTTTCATTGTTCTTGGGCAGCATTTTAAGAGAAGAAATGACAGGACTTGGTGAAAAAGTATAAGAAATATACAATATAAGAAAAGTTATGTGAGTAAGTCAAAAGTATAGGAGTGAGTAAATGATGGGTAGGGTATGATAAAGTTGTTTTCACAGTTGAGGGAAATATTTGGACCAGTTAGAGATAATATTTGAGAACTTACCATGCTGTGTTTTCATGTATTATATAATTCAATTTTATAACAGCCCAGTTTGGTAAATACTGTTAACTCTGGTTTATGGATGAAGAAATTCAGCTACCAAAAGTAACTTTCCCAAGATTCCAAAGTATTGTAGCCAGGATTTGAAATTAGGCAGTCTGATTCCAGAAGTCTAGGTTCAGATATTTAATTGGATTTGTGATATAACAAGGGGCTAAGAAGAAAAAAAATAAGAATATGCTATCTTTGTACCAGCTGGAAAAACTGGGGTTCCCATTGCTGGGACTTTATAGACTGGGAAAGTCTAGAAGTAGGGAAGCTGGAAAAGAAGTCTAGAAGTAGGGAAGCTGGAAAAGAAGATAGCTGCAGTAGTTTAAGACAGGTATGGATATTGGTGAAGCAAAAAAAAATCCATTCTTAGTAAAGGCAGGAGAGGATTTATTATAGGATATTGAATGGTTTACAAAGTTGTTGGGAGGGCTGCAGAAGCTTTGGATTAAGCTGACATAAATAACTCCCAAAACTGCACTATAGAACTTTGTCATCAAGGGAGCTCCTGCCTCTTCTGCAATCACTTCCACTGCTCTAGAACCATGCTGCCACTGCCGTGGTCAAGAAAATGCCACTACTCCTGCCATGCCGTCTAGAATCCATCCAGTCTTAAGAGGTAGCCCCATATACTTTCAGTTTCTTTGGTGGCCATCATGGAATACTAGGACCTCTGTTCATGGTGTCACATAAAAACAAAGCCTCCACAACTGTGCTTGTCATAAAAAAAAAAAAGTAGCTCCCCTTCTAAATCTTACACAGACTGTCTCTGATTGCCCAAACCTGGAAGACTTCTGGAACTCTAACAAAAAGAGACTCTGGGAATTGTACTTTTTAGGTTTTCAGCCTCGGCAGTAGATGAGGGCACACAAGAAGGAAAGCGGAATAGATGTTGAGTGTGAAACCAGCATCAGCAGTATGGGAAAGTGAAAGCTTTAGATTATTACATGCTGTTAGGGAGCAGGCATGCAGAGGGTAGATGTTAGTGATTAAAAGGAGATAGAATGAGCTATTTAGAAAACACAAAAAGGGAAAATACAGCAGTGAGGCTTTGGTTCTTAGGACACAGACAAATGTATTTCTTGTTAATTACTGGGATTTTTTTTTTCTCTCCTTGAAATTGACTAGAATAGCAATTACTCTAACGTGTTCTAAAATCCTATTAATAATGTTGATGAAAATTCTGTTACTGAGAAGTCTAGAAGTAGGGAAGCTGGGAAAGAAGATAGCTGCAGTAGTTTAAGACAGGTATGGATATTGGTGAAGCAAAAAAAAATCCATTCTTAGTAAAGGCAGGAGAGGATTTATTATAGGATATTGAATGGTTTACAAAGTTGTTGGGAGGGCTGCAGAAGCTTTGGATTAAGCTGACATAAATAACTCCCAAAACTGCACTATAGAACTTTGTCATCAAGGGAGCTCCTGCCTCTTCTGCAATCACTTCCACTGCTCTAGAACCATGCTGCCACTGCCGTGGTCAAGAAAATGCCACTACTACTGCCATGCCGTCTAGAATCCATCCAGTCTTAAGAGGTAGCCCCATATACTTTCAGTTTCTTTGGTGGCCATCATGGAATACTAGGACCTCTGTTCATGGTGTCACATAAAAACAAAGCCTCCACAACTGTGCTTGTCATAAAAAAAAAAAAGTAGCTCCCCTTCTAAATCTTACACAGACTGTCTCTGATTGCCCAAACCTGGAAGACTTCTGGAACTCTAACAAAAAGAGACTCTGGGAATTGTACTTTTTAGGTTTTCAGCCTCGGCAGTAGATGAGGGCACACAAGAAGGAAAGCGGAATAGATGTTGAGTGTGAAACCAGCATCAGCAGTATGGGAAAGTGAAAGCTTTAGATTATTACATGCTGTTAGGGAGCAGGCATGCAGAGGGTAGATGTTAGTGATTAAAAGGAGATAGAATGAGCTATTTAGAAAACACAAAAAGGGAAAATACAGCAGTGAGGCTTCGGTTCTTAGGACACAGACAAATGTATTTCTTGTTAATTACTGGGATTTTTTTTTTTCTCTCCTTGAAATTGACTAGAATAGCAATTACTCTAACGTGTTCTAAAATCCTATTAATAATGTTGATGAAAATTCTGTTACTGTGAAATGTGAGATTCTTTAGAATAACTGCCCTACAAGTAATTTCTTACTCCCTTTCCATAACATATATGAAAACACAATGATGAATATTTTAGTTAAAAACAATAAGTTGGTAAATTTTGTGAAAAGAATTTTTTACTTATGCTTTGATAATAGAGAAGTACGTGGTTCTTATGTCAAAAATGGATAACAAGAATGAGAAACTATACTTTATTGATTACTAGGAAATTTTATAGCAAATCTCAAAGAAGCTTTAGGACATCAAGTAATAAGAATAAATTACCTTGGCGATTGGGGCATGCAGTTTGGTAAGTACGTTTGAGATTTTATTTTTCATTTCATTGTAAAATTCAATTTTTAAAAACTTTGATCTTCTGGACAGAATATAGGCAGAATCCCATTGGATGAAGTAGTATGTCCTACCTATTTTTTTTTTCCTAATGGCTTTTGCGCATATTATCTTCTATTTATTTGAGTAATTCTCATCACACAAGTTACCTTTGGGGAAGGTAACTTCACACATTCAAAGACGACCTGGGCCAGGCATGGTGTTTCACTCCTGTAATGCCAACATTTTGGGAGGCCAAGATAGGTGGATCACTTGAGCCCAGGAGTTTGAGACCAGCCTGAGCAACATGGTGAAACCCTGTCTTTACAAGATACAAAAAAATTAGCTGGACATGGTGGCATGCCCTTGTATTCCTAGCTACTCGGAAGGCTGAGGTAAGAGGATCGTGTTAGCCCAGGAGGTCAAGGCTGCAGTCCACTGAACTCCAGTGTGGGTGGCAGAGGAGGACCCTGTCTTAAAAAAAAAAAAAAAAACCCCAGAGTAAGACCTGATGTAAGCTTTTGTGGTTTTAATAAAGAGGAATTGCCTGCTTTTATTAGTTAAATGTAGAAGTGAGTATACAGGGAAGAAGTAAGTCTAACTGTGTACACCGTTCTCAACCACAGCCCTGCCATTTTTCAATCTAAGGACATCCAGCCTCCCTGGGCCATCCTACACGAAGCAGGATCCACTATTATACCATAGCCAGTGGCCCAGAAGATAAGCATAGGGTGATACTTTGGCTTCCCCTTGAACTGTACAGTGAGGGGCAGGAGTAGGGTGGGGAAAGTCCAGAA